TTTTATTTTTTTACTTATTATTATATTTTCTTTAGTTGTAGATGGACACAATACCTTTATTTTATTTATTTTTATGTGGTGCTGAGGATTGAAACCAGTGCCTCACGCATGCTAGGCAAGCACTCTACCACTGAGCTACACCCCCAGCCCTGCTATGTGGATTTTATATTCCAAAAGTCTTTTTGCTCCAGGGACTCAAAAATCAGTGTTTCCAGCCAAAACAATAATGAGATCCTAAATGTAAGCACATGGCACATATCATCTTGAGTATATAGCATAAACATAAGGCACTCTGGAAAACACTAGAGTCCCACAGACATAGAATTAATTGACACTCTGTATAGTTGTGTTCAGCCAAGAAATCACCTTTGGCTCCCTGCCAATGCCAGTTGAAACTTTTTTCTCTCTCTCTCTTTTTTTTTTTTTTTGCCATTCATGGGATTGAATGCAGGGGCACTCTACCACTGAGCTTCAACTCCATCCCTCTTTATTTTTTGTTTTGAGACAGGGTCTCGTTAAGCTACCCAGATTGGTCTCAAACTTGTTATCTTCCTGCCTCAGCCTCTGGGGTCACTGGGATTACAGGCGTATGCCACTGTGCTTTGCACCAGTCGAATCTTCTTTAGTGAGCAATAAGGGCTTCAAGTCTGACCCCCCACTTCAACAAACTCTCAGACCAAGTGGCATTAGAATTTCATTTGGAATGCAAGTCCCTCCCACTGCCCCATCAGAGGTCCACTCTGAAGTCTGAAATAACTTCCCAAATTCCAATGTTGTGTTGATCCATATTACTATCCTATACCAGGTGCTCTCTCTCTAGATCTGAAGTCCCACAATGTGACAAATTGACTCCTTTGTCCTCAAGACTTTCCAAGGTGCTCCCTCCTGATACACTGGAGTTCACACTCTGAACAGTTCCATCTGTTTGCTCCCATGAACCTCAAAGCTATTATATCCAAGGGCAGACCTCAGTATCCTCCTTAGAAAACCACAACCACCATCTGTTGGTGGTCTCACCTTCCATTCGGATTCCCCCTAGAAACCCAGCACCTATTTCTCTTCCTCTTCCACCTCATCCTATGAATTTTACTTTCTAAATATTTCTCAAATCTGGTCTCTCTTCAAGCTTAAACCTTCTTTCTCTCCTCCCTTTGACTCCTCATTGGTTTCCAGGTATCAACTCTCAATCTTCAAGTCATCTTCCATTCATACCAGCGGGATCTGTTTAAAATATAATCTGAGGGACGAGGGATGTAGCACAGTGGGACAGAGCACTTCTGGGGATGCCCAGAACCCCCCACCCCTGAAAAGAGCACAACCTGACCAAGTCACTTTTGTCCTTAAAACCTTTCATGGGACCCAGCTATCCCACTCCTCTGTCTATACCCAAAGGACTTAAAAATCAGCATACTACAGTGACACAGCCACATCAAAATGCTTATAGCAACTCATTTCACAATAGCTAAACTGTGGAATCAACTGAGATGCCCTTCAACAGATGAATGGATAAAGAAACTKTGGTATATATACACAATGGAATATTACTCAGCCTTAAAGGAGAATGAGATTATGACATTTGCAGGTAAATGGATGGAGTTGGAGAATATCATGCTAAATGGATGGAGTTGGAGAATATCATGCTAAGCCAATTCAAACAGCTAAAGACCAAATGTTTTCTCTGATATGTGGATGCTGATCCCTAATGAGGTGGGGTGGGGCAAGGGAAGAATGGAGGAACCTTAGATTGGGCAGAGGGGAGTGAGGGGAGGGCAGGGGGAATGGGAATGGAAAAGATGGTGGAATGAGACAGGCATTATTACCCTATGTACATGTATGACTGTATGAATGGTGTGACTGCATCGGGTACAATCAGAGAAATGAAAAGTTGTGCTCTATTTGTGTACAATGAGTTGAAATGCATTCTGCTGTCATGTATAACAAATTAAAAACAAAACAAAACAAAACTTTCATGGCTCCGACTGTCTCTCAGTGAAGTTGACTGAAGTGGATTCTATGAAACATCAGTCCTGCCATATACTCCACATATATGTCCTCAATACATTTAGGAAATTCTGCACATCCAATACTCCTTTTTAAGATTCACCGTGACATTAGCATCCTAAACATGGCTTCATCGTTATCCTAAACTCCAGTGTTTTGATCTCTGACCTTCCTACCTGCCTGCCCGGGCACAACAGTCATTCTACCTCACAGCACGTTCAGACCTTTGGTTCCCCCATTTTCTCCCTAGCTACTAAGCCCTGACCTTCTCTTGCCACGCATGCGTTTTTCTTCTGATTATACCCCCCCMCMCACACACACACAATCTCTCTCAGTCCCTCCAGATCTACTCCAAGCACCTGCCACTTGAGCACTAGCCCACATAGTGATCACAGAGTTCTAAGTTTCTCCCCCAGTTAAACAGCAAGCACTCAGGACAGGACCTGGATCTTGATTGGTTACTATCCCTAGAGTGGCACCCAGTTCCTGGCTCAGAGGGGTAGTTGGAAAGAGTTACTAAACAGAAAGCTAAAGAAAAGAAGAAAGAAGACAGGAAGGCTTACAGGGTTTGGGATGGTTCTGTCAGTCTGTTTTGAGGTCCATTCCAAGAGTTGGATCTCCTCTGTCTAACAGGGGTCTTGCTTTGAAACCTGGGGCTGGGTCCAAGAAATACTCTGATGGTGGTATTTTTGTTCCCCTCTTGGCTGAGGGTTTCCCCTGGTAGCCAGGCCAGTGATGGTACCCTGACCTTCCCTTCAATGTACCATGTGATGAGGTTTGGGGTTTCTGAGACATCTGACTCCTTCTGTCTATGCTGGCCACCTCTGGATTTCCATTGACTACAACAGTGGGCACACAAAGACTCCAGGATCAACTCACACTCCAATGCTGAACTGGCTGTGCCCTCCTCCCTCCTGGACCCTGCCTCTGCTTTGTTCTCATTTTGTGCCTGGACAAAAACACCACTACCCTCCTGTCATGGCACCACCAACCTGGGGGGTAGACCCTTCACCTGGCTTATCTTGCTCCATCCTCTCTATTACAATGACTCTCTCCCTCTCCCTCTTGCCCCCTTTGTCCACCAAGTGCCTTTGCTGCAAGACCGGCCAGTCACTTTCATGTCTCTTCCACAGCCCTCTATCTTCACAGACTTTCCCTGGGCCTTAATTATAGTACTAACTCCAACTTTGCTACCCTCCTCCAGTAACCCCCAGCACCTCCCCACTCTGGCTTGAGATGACTGACCCCTTGCTGGAGGTATGTTAGATGGGGGCAGACACCTGCTTCAGCTGTATGGCACTTGTGTTACGTTCCCTCACTACAGAGATACTAGATCCTGTGTGAAGCAGGTATGATTCCATGACAGCCTCATCTTCCTCCTTCCACATTGAAGACCAGGTACTTAATTTGCAGTTGCCAGTGCAAAACGAAAAGGATCCCTTTTCAAAAATCACTAAGAATTTCAAAATGGCAATTGCAGATCATTCCTGCTTTTTCATTTTCCAATCCAATCACCAAGGCCTTCTAAGTGCTTGGTCCTGTGTGACTATACCAGTTGCATGTGCATAAAGCCAGCCCTGCCCATACTCCTTTCCAGTTGGTGACCGTCCCTTTCCATGCTCTCCTGTTCAGTTGCTTTCTTAGTTCCTTAGTTCCTTAGGTTCCTTCTGGGCAGGAGACTAGACCCAGTCACATCCAGAAGTCCAGGGCCCTGTTCAGCAAGCATTCACACAGATTACTCCCAGGTCCTTGGGGAATCTTTACCCCCACACCACCCTAGGGCCATGGAACACTTACATCCTTCTCAAATCAATGCAGTTATTGAGCCTTCCTGATGGGGCCTGAGGAAAGGAAGAGAGATTGGTAAACTTCAATAACTGTCCTCTACAAATTCAGATTACAACAGAGTTAAGACCCAAATAAGAGCAGAACCAAAAGGGATGTGTAAGTTCAAAGAAAAATATTCATATTTGATAAGGTAATTAATTTTACATAAAGATGGGCTTTGATGAATGAGAAAGGTTTTATTAACCTGAAGAGGAAAGAAGCATTGCTGGAGAGGGCACAGCATGGACAAAGGCTTAGAGACGGACAGATGCATAGCAGGTTCTAGAATCTTGAGTTTTGCAGTTTGGCTGGGGTGTACAGCTGGTGAAATAGTGGAAAAAGGCAGGAAGGAAAATTTGAGGTCTGCAGTGAAGAGCTGTGAGAGCGGCGGGAAAGTGTACTCCCTGGCATGGTACATATTTGGGAGAAAAAGAAGGGAGGAGTCTTCTTCCGCTTGGCCTTCCCAACCTGACTACAGAACGCAAAGCCTTGCTTTTCTGCAAAACAGGACGAAATTATCCCGTGGTCTGGAGTTTGTTCAGTCCACCCTCCCAACCCAAAGTCTGTCTGGGGCGAACGACAAAGGCCTGAAGGCCTTCCCTACCAAAGCACGCAGAACGACAATCTCGTGCGAGCCTAGTAGTGCCCAGGCTGGTGGGGTTGGGGGTTGGGGCTTTCCCGCCACTCACTCCTATGGTCTCGCGGCAGAGGCGAGAGGTATGTGGTGGGGATGAGGAACAGGATCCCACACGCGGGAGGGGAGGGGACCGGACTGTCTGGTGACGCTCAGAAGGCACGACTGAAAGGGAAGATAGTGGCTCCTTTCCCCTAATGACCCCACTACCCATTTTAACTTTATAGAATGGATATTTCAAACATATGCAAAAGTAGAATGATGTCAAATTCTCAAGGCCAAGCTTCGACAAGGACCAGTCTCATTTTTTCAAACTTCCCATCACTCATTTTAAAACAGAATAGGGGTGGCCTGGGAGTGACGGAGGTGCCCCCCAAGTTGGAGAACCCGTTTCAGGCCGGCACCACCCGAGGCTGGGACGCCAAGGCGGAGTGGGGGAAGGGTTGGGCGGGAGTTGGGATCACACTGAGTGGGGGCCGCGGGGGGTAGGGGCGGGGCCCAAGCGGGAGGGGGGGCACCTTCGCAGTGACTCAAGGCGCGCGCTGCTGGGCGCAGAGCGCCAGTCTCCGCCTTGCAGCTCCGAGTGTGCCCGCTGCGCCGCCGCTGTCCGTGCTTGCCGCTACCTTAGCGCCGCCGCCACCGCCACCGCCACCATGCCCAACTTCGCCGGCACCTGGAAAATGCGTAGCAGCGAGAATTTCGACGAGCTCCTCAAGGCACTGGGTAAGCTGGGGAGAAGGGCGCTCCCCTACGGGGAAAAGCGGCTTTCGAGGTGCGGCGTCCCGGCCCCAGTGAGGGTGCACATTGGGGAACCTCAGGCAGAAGAGAATCCAGGGAGCGAGCGATAAATCGCTTCCATCTCCATGGGCATCTCTCCTCCCAGAGGCGAGTAGTGCCAGGGACCTACCGGTTYAGGAAAACGTTTGCTGGATGTTGGGCGTCTAACCCGACGGTTCCGCCTTTATTTCGCGCTAGATCAGGGCGAGGAGCGATTACTGGAAAGTTAGGGGCTTGGAATTTGGGAACTCAATTAGAGACTAGGCTTTGCCGCGAATTCACTGGGTGACTTGGAGAAAGCCACTTACCTTTCTTAGCCTGTTTCTCATCTCGAAATCTAGGGCAAGGACAGGTAGATTTTATGGCTGGTAAAGTTAGAGATTTCGGGAAGTACCCAACAGGTCCGTGGACGAGGGGTGAATGGTGAGATCCTATGACCCGAGACGGTGGTGCACGCGCCCTTTCCTGAGCAGGTGTGAACGCCATGCTGAGGAAGGTGGCCGTGGCTGCCGCGTCCAAGCCGCACGTGGAGATCCGCCAGGATGGGGATCAGTTCTACATCAAGACTTCCACCACGGTGCGCACCACTGAGATCAACTTCAAGGTCGGAGAAGGCTTCGAGGAGGAAACTGTGGACGGACGCAAGTGCAGGGTGAGGTTTCATAGCCCGCGCAAGTGTTCCCAGGTTCCCGCTGGCGGCCCATGGACTCCTGCCACCGTAGAAATATGTCTCTCTTAGCAGCCTGTGGCGTGCTTTCGTGCTGTTTGCAGGAGGGTTTGTGAAACCTGGTTGCCCTGGGCTCAAAAGAAAATGTCCTACCCCCTCTCCGAACCCATCCTTGAACCACCCTGAGGTGCTAACGGGCACTCTTAAAACGCGGGCTCTGGACTGCTTAGCGTTCCTAGCTGTGACTTCTGCAGCCATTTGGGGCACCCTCCGCGCAAGAGCAGGCCGCGCCGGAGGAAGAGGTTGCAGGGGCTGCCTGGCTCCAGGGCAGTGCTGCTGCCACGTTTCCTGTCGCAGGTGGAACAGCARCTCTCCTGTCCCGCCCCTTGGGTCCCTGGGCCGTCTGGGAAAGCTCTGGATCCAGTTTCAGCAGTCCCAATAGTCCGGTATCCCTCCCCGCCCTCAACCGGGGAAAGGCAGAATCTTTCCAAAAGCAACGCAGGTTCTGGCTGGGGGAGTAGACTAAGTGCCCTCTCTAAGTCCTCAAGGGCAAGAGGGTTTTTATTTCTATAAACACCGACCCAGGGATGAACAATTGTACATTTCTTTTTTGCATGGGCAAAAAACTGCATTCGGTTAAGCAGATGGAAAAATAATTACTGCTGCTGCCTATTATTTTAAATGAGTGACAGAATATCTGTCTCCCTGGTTTTCTTCAAYGTTTTTGAAAAATGAAAATAAGTAAAAACATTACAAACAGTGGGGAATTGTTTCCTTTGCCCTCCTGGAGCTGGTGCCCAGGGAGTCTGGACCAGGCTTGGAAGAAGGACTGAAAAACCCAGAGCCCCACCCCCACCCCCATCCCCAGCAGGATGCACAAGGCAATCTTTGGCCCTCAAAATTGACATAGTCTGAAAGTGATGCTCAGGCTTGGAACAGGTGGGATATGAGGTCCAAATCACCACATTGTTTGTAAAAACCAAAGATCAGGACAGGATTGTTAGTCTTGAGGGAGAAGGCTTGATAATAGACAGGACTTAATTTGGGGACAACCAAGGGTAGCTAGTGCCAGGGAGAGTAATTCTGATTTTAAAAAAAATCAAAGGTTCACAAAACAACTGTGAGAGAAGGGCTTTATTTATCCCCCAGCCCCTACCTTGCCTGATGMAGATGTCCCATGTGTTAGTTAAAAAGCAATTATGTGCACATTCAGTATTTCCCYAGCCCAGCTGTACCATACTTTGTGCAGACACTGGGGAAAGCTGCAAAGAATCCCCCCTTTTGCCTCCCCTCCAAAAGCATGAAGAATCTTTGGATCAGTTTGATTTAAATTTTTTTCTAGAAGGTTATAAATTGCAAAATGGAAGCATTTTTATCCTCAGTGTCAGAGACATCCAGGTTTATAACAAGAGGCTGTGTGCTATATCTGATGAGAAGTGCAAACAGAAAGGAAAGTGTTATCCCAAAACCTCTACAGGAAATCCTTCTCCTGATCTGCTGGCTATGGATGTACTTACAAACATGGTATCTTAACCGTTGTAAAATTTTGTGGTTCTAACGTGAAGGTTCTTGCCTTTAAAATTCAAATTGCTTGAAGAGGTAGTTTATTTTGACATAAAAGAATCATTGCGTGCTCTGAATTTTATTCCTAGAGATGTATGGCATGTCTAAGGCTTTGCTGCTTGAGTGAGTCTGTGTGTATGTGTGTGTAATACAAGGTGTATTTTATACCCCATAAAATCCGTGACCAGCACTCTGAATTTGGACTTTATGTAGCTCAGCAGAGAAGATTCTATGTGCTTGTGACAAGGACCATGTGTTGCTTCTCTGCACAGCAATTATTCTCCGGTGTTCATTGTTGTCTCTGCTCCCGCTGCCGAGACTGTAATTAATGTCACTAATGGTTTTCCTGCCTGCAGAGTTTAGCCACTTGGGAGAACGAGAACAAAATCCACTGCACGCAAACTCTGCTTGAGGGGGATGGCCCCAAAACCTACTGGACCCGCGAGCTGGCCAACGACGAGCTCATCCTGGTGAGGGCCCTTTGACCTTGAAATGATCCCAAAGTTTCCCAGATAATCCTGAGGTGGCCCTCACAAAAATGTTGTTCTCATATTCTCATTCAAAGAAAGACGTTTGCCTTGGATTAAAATGTATGCTTTTTCATTTTTCTTTTTCTAATTTTGCAGTGCTGGGGTGGAGGACCTCACTGTTAGGCAAGCATCTCTACATAACACTGAGCTGCATCCCCAGACCCCTGGGTTAAAATTGGAGCAGAAAGCCCAAGATGACAGCATAGGTCAGAGAAAGTCATCGTTAAATATTTGGCAGGAGAGAGGAGTGGCAAAATAGAGGCTAGAAACAGGCTGGGGTGCCTGCCACTATCCAAACTGCTATGTCCCTGAGGTAGTGGGAGGAAGACTTCTTTTAAGCCAACTTCCCCTCCACCCTGGCTCAGAATACTTGGGCTTTGTGAGGTCCCCCAGGATCCTACTACAGAAGGGATTCCCCCGCCCCATTCTCATGCATTTGCTGGCCGGGAAAGGTATTAGAAATTTTTATCACATCAGCACTCAAAGCCATAGAGAACTTTTTTACCTCCAGACTTACAAACTCCTTTGGCCTTTGGGAGACAGAGAAGTAATGCTAATTTGGGAAATGTCTGAATGTAACAATGTGGATGGACAGGGCCTTTAGAACTGGAGGTGAACTCTAACCTTAAAAGTATACAGGCAGAAACATACAAACACCCTCAGACAAACAAAATTACCTGGTGAGGCCAAATTATAAATCCCTATAGTTTAATCACCCACCCTTCTTCCCTTTTAAGGTAGAGGAACAAAGGAAGGCTGGGAGGCAAACCACCCCCATGCTACTCCCCAAGGAAGCATTTTGTGTTTCAGGACTGATCAAACTTCTTGCAACCACCCCACCCCCAAGACTAGAAAAAGGAAAAGCCATTTTGAGTAACAAGAAATTTACATTCTTTGTTCTCCATCAGACATTTATGAACATCTCACCTCTAAAATTCCACCTGCCCCATCTTAGTGACTGTTACCCCAAAATACTGGGAATAGGAGATGGCAAAGTGTTCTGGGAACAGAACAGACTCTCTCTGTGATCTAGGCATTGTCCTTTCCTTCCCAAGCTCAGTACCCCTGCTGTAAAATTAGGGGTTGAGTTGATTTCTGGTCCCTGAGGTCCCTCTCAGCCCTGAAATTACATGTTTATTCTGCAAGAAGACCCTAAATTGAACTCCCTATTGCTTTAACTGAGGCTGCTTTGATATCTCTTCCTCTCTCTCCCCTCTTGTCTTGCTGGGATGATTTAGCATGCTTTTCTCCTTTCATAGAGAAAGGACTGGCTTAATTTGCAACCTGGTTAATGTTTCCAGGGAAGGAATACTTGATGGGGTTGGGGAGCAATTTGAGGCTGAGACTTGGAAACCTTGGAGAAAAGGCACATATGGTTTACTGGGACCAGAGACAGCAAAGAGCAAATGATTTTAAGGGTTCTGAAGTGTAGCCAAGGGTTAAGTAAGATCAATTTGCTCTGAGAAGGTGTGATTTTATTAACCTTTGCAGAACCTGAGCAGCCAGAGTCATAGACCAAATTCTGCTAGAAGGACTGTACCACCTCTGAATCCCACATTCCCCCCACACTATAGTTCCACCCCAGCATCCTTTCCTGGCTCAGCAAACCTATATAAGCCTCAAAGGGAGCATTAATTCTTGACATTTGGAATCTGAAATGTGGGCTTTTGTTTCAAGAGTTATTATCATGAATAAATCCAAAACATCAGGAGATGCAATCTCCATATAACAAGAGGCAAATTATTCTGGTTAAGTTGAAATAAGCTCCCCCAGTGCCAACCATAAATTGCCCCTGAGCTGTAAGTTATGTTTCTTTGAAAACTGAGTATACTCCTTCAAACTGCTCTGGAATATTTTATGGAGAATTTTTTTCAGCAACCTCTAAGCATAGTTTGCAGGCTGAGAAGTTCAAATGGGGCTGGAAATGGGATTTCTTCTAGTGTCCTGAAGCCATTTGTTAGCCTCAGTGAGCTTTCAGAGAACCAGAATATTTACTACATGGGTAAAGAGTCAGATTCCTAAATTTTGGCATTCTATTTGATACTCCATGGCCACAGAACTCAAAGAGTTCTGGAAAACCAACATGGTCTGCAGGATCCAAATATCTGAGAAGTGGATTTATGATGGGAACTCCACCTCCACATACCCCCGGGACACAGAATCATCCCCGTTCCTCACTATTAGGGAAAGAGGATAGGTGTCCAGAGTGGGTAAGTGAAATCAGAGGATCCCTAGTGGGATCATTTGGTCATTTGCTTCCTGCTAAGTATTAGAAGTATTGTTATGAAGCACATGTATTGGGATAATGCCCTAGCAAATGCTCTCTGAGAGCATTTCATGACCAATCTGCGATACACACTCCTTAATTGTACAATTGTTATGTGGATTTAAAAATTTGTTTAACTCTAAAGTCCTTTTTAAACTAAACTCTTAGTCCAGTGATTTTAACTTTTGAATCTCAGGCCAGTGTGAAAATCTGATAGATAAGGACCTTCCAGCAGATAATTTTACATCTGCAAACAAACATACCCACACATCAGGCCTAATGACTTGGGAAGGTTTTGGTTTTTGAACATACACATTGCTTTCTCTGTTCTGACTTCCTGTGAGAGGCCCAGGAGAACAGGCATGTGAGTAATTGCTAGTTTTTGGAAAAGTTGAGACAACTTACTTATGGGCAATATCATTTCAGGAGCCAGAAGAAAAATGTTCTCTGTCTGCGGAATGATTCGTGTCTTCCCATCAGCAAACAAACTAACAAAGAGCCATAGAATTTTAGATGGAAAGAACTTTTGGGATAATCTTGTTCAAGTCCTCCCCTCCCTATTGTCCACCCGCACAAGCCTAGAGAGGAAGAGAATGGCTTAGGTTTACCCAGCTGTGAGTTGGAGAGCTAGATCAGGGTGCCAGTGCTGCGTTTTTGCAGCTGAGACCAATTTTCTAGCTTGCCATTGATTTGATTTGAGTGTTATAATTCTCCTTCAGCATCATTGGGGGATTGGTTCTAGGACTCCCTTTGGAAAATCTATGGATGCTCAAGTCCCTTCTGTAGAATGGGGTACTATTTTGCATATGCCCTATGCAAATCCTCCTGTATACTTTAAATCATCTCTAAATGACTAATAATACCTAATGCAATATAGATGATAAGTAAGAAGCTGTTATACTTTTTTGTTTAGGAAATAATGATGAGGAAAAAAAGTGTGTATGTGTTCATACAGATGCATTGTTTTTCTGAATATTTTCAATCTGTGGTTGGTTGAATCTGAGGATGTAGAGCTTGTGGATACAGAGGCCTGTTGTAGTTACACATCGGAGTCTTTCTCCCAGGCTTCATAGCTGCTTCCTGGAAATCAATTCTATTCTGTCTCCAAAGCAATCTCATCTCACTTGTTGGTATTGAACCCTGTGACCCCAGCTGTCCAAGCCCCTTGCTCTCTTGCAGTGGTTTGAAAGAAGATGGAACCCCTTCAGAAATGTCCAGTATGAAGTTCTTCCCCTTTTGATAKAACTTCAAAACTAAAGCTGGGAAACTTGCATTTCTTATGTCAATACCCCAGTTGCCTCTGCCATTAAGGAGCTTGGGGAGGAACCTCAAACCCTTAGTGCTTACTTAGCATCAGCACAACAGGAAATTGAATGCCTGTTACAAACAGTTTTTAACAGGGCAGTAACTGGCCTTATTAGCAATATGCTTTAAACATTTTTTGCACAGGCATCTGTACTGATTGGTTTTCCTTTTCTTCTTTTCTGCAGACATTCGGCGCCGATGATGTGGTCTGCACAAGAATTTATGTCCGGGAGTGAAGGCAGCCAACTTGTTCCCACTTTTGGGACAGGATGCAGGTTTCCCCAAGGAATATGTCATAGGTCTGAGTTGCCAGTGGGCCACCCTCCCCCCATCAACATTAGGTGATCCCATTTTCCCTGTGACAATGTTGTAGTGTTCCCCTCAAGGTCTCTGTGCCTCTTGTACCCCTGGTGCTCTGTAGTTTGGCAATGCATGGTTGCATCAGTCATTAAACTAGTTGGACACATCTTGAGTGTTTTTCCTTTTGGGGACTGCTCCATGGGTTTCAAATTACTGTGTACTGGTGCCCCCAGCACTGCATCGATCTGTATGGTGTTCTCAGCTTGAGCCTGCTGCCTAGGTGTTGAGCTCTGAGCGAGCATCAGCAGTCACAAACTGGGCTCCTGCAGACTGGTGGGGTCCAGGCCATAGATCCAGCTGCAAATGGACCTCATCATGTTGTTTTTAAGTGAATTAGTTGCTACTGGTGATTCCAGGCAGGAAAGGGCACGTTCAAAAGGCTTAATTGAGGAGAACTCACAAGGGAGGGACTATTTATATGGGTATTAACAAGGTCAGAATGAAAAAGAACCAACAAAGGATGGTGAGGCACCCACAAACTAGCAACAGAATGAGCCCTTATCACTCCTAGATCTGAAGATAGAGGGCAGCAAGGTCACCAAACCATGGGAGCAGTAACCTGGGAGATGGATTGCCCTGCAGGAGCTGTGGCAATAAATAGAGAACACAGCCACTGTCAGTATCATGGCTCCAGTGAATTAGGTTGGGGGAGAAGCGGTTTGGAAAGAGTAGGTAAGTATCCTAACTTCCCACCTATCAGTCTTCACCTATTTTACACATTGGCTAAATACAGCTGGAATGTGGAGGGCAAGAAAGTAAGCCTTTTTTAGTTGGAACTTGAACCTTCTGCCTCCCCTTGCTCCCCACTCTTGGGGAGACCTCATTTACTTTGTATGCCTGGCTTCTCTCCTGGCCATTCTAGACATATGGACTCTTGGTCAAGAGTATTTGAGGCTGGGCAAGGCTAAAAGACCCTCAAAGATCTCACACTCTAGTGGAGCAGACAAGGCCCAGGCGCACTACCTGAGGGAGTGAGAACACATTACCTGAGTCCTCACATTTCCCCAGCCCAGAGCCCTACTGTGCTCCTGGGGGACATTGGCCCCCTCCAAGACTCTACTGCCTATCTCTGGAACTCTGGGGAGGGATCTCATGCATCTCCCTGCCCCTGCTTGGGGCTCTTTGGCTGCCTCTGCTCTGGTGCCCCCTATGGAAGCACCACTGCTTCCCACAGTCCCAAAGCTACCAGGCCCTGGTGTGTCAAGTGGAACTGAATTCTGCATCAGAGACAGGAGGAAGCCTGACGCTGGGCTGCCCTTTCTCCTCAGGCAACAAAGACCCTCTACTTATGTCCAGAACCTCCCAAAGCCCCTTGTGAAAACAGCTCCTCAGCCTGGGGTTGTGGCTCAGTAATAGARCGCTTGCCTTGCATATGTGAGGCACTGGGTTTGATCCTCAGCACCGCATAAAAATAAATTTAAAGAAAGGTATTGGGTTCATCTACAACTTTAAAAAAAATGTTTTTTTAAATAGCTTCTCAACTTCTGACTCTACCCCAGAGCCCTTGAGACCAGGAGGTGCAGATACCGTACCATCCCCTCCATTCTGCTGGTTTCTCCTTTTGGGCTGGATTGCTTACCAGACATAGCTATGTTCATACTCAGTGTCCTACAAAACAGAGAGTCTTGTAGCAGAGTGTGGAGGGATGCAGGAGTCACCTGTGCTCATTGTGGGAGGGAGGTGGAACAGGGCCTCTAAGGATGGCAGATCCTGGGTTGGTAAATGGTATGGAGGAAGGTAACATGGAGGGACCACCTACATGGGAATGTACTAGATTTAGAAGTGAGGGGACCAAGATGGCCACATAAGAGAAAGTGGGCACAGCAGGTCATGCCAGGTGGATGAGGCTGAGGTGTGTTGCCTCTGCCTCATGAGTGCTGGATGCTCATGGCCACTGCAGATGGACTGAGTGAGGCCTACACCCCTTCCTTGCCTCCACTGCTGCACTGTCTTCTCCACCTCTCCCTACTGTACTGTGGTGACCCTGTATGGAGGACAGGGCCCAGTTGTGCAGAGGATGCAAGAAGCCATTCTCCTTTTCTGACTCTGGAAATTTGGTTATTTCCATCATATTCTTCTTTATATATGACATGGTACATGGATCACCTGTTTCCTTCAGATAAGCCTTCACAGAGGATGAAGAATAAAGCAGAGTGAAGGAGGCTACCAGCCGTATCTCACTTGCTTGATGGCCAGTGGGCATGGGTGGGTACATTTGGATAACAAGATGAGGTGGCAGCATCAGTAGTTCATTTAGACAGAGAGCGTCAACTACAGCCTGGTTGTCTTCAATCTTATTGCTTCCACATTTTTCCAGATAAAAGGCACAGTTTTTCTCATTCCCTTATAGAACACCTCTCGTGAGACATTAGTGCTCCATGGAACCCAGTTTGGGGAATTGCTGCTATAATCTTCAGCCCTATAATATTTGTGYGTACATATACCACATATGATATGTAATACACACACACAGAACGAAAACCTTCACAAAATATCACTGTCCCAGAATAATCTCACTAAACTTGTTACTCTGAACTTGTTCTAATCTTGTTCTCATTCTTCTGCTCAGCAGTTCCCATGGTCTGTAGCAGAAAGTTTAAATTTTTTGGCCTAGTATTCAAAGTCCTCCATGATTTGGCTTCATCAGGTAAAACAGAAGGAACAGGTCTGTCAGATCTGGCTTTAAATCCTGGAGCTACTTTCCATTAGTTAAGTGCTAGAAATCTAACCACAGCCAATCCCAGCAAAAAAGAAATTACTCTATTTMAACAGGGATGAACCTTGGAAATATTATGCTATTTGAAAAAAGCCAGTCACAAAGGGCACACATTGTGTGATTCCGTGTAAGTGACATGTGGAGACTAGGCAGATTCTTAAAGAAAAGTAGCTAGGCCGGTTCCCTAAGGCGGGGAGGTGGGGGAATTAGGGAGCGGCCAATACAGTTTCTTTTGGGGATGATGAAAATGTTCTAAAACTGAYGCGGTAGTGGTTGTACAACTTTGTGACTACACTAAAAATCACTGGATTGTACATTTTAAAGGGTGAACTGTGGGCTATGTGAATGATATTTTAAATAAAGCTGTGGGGTTTGTTTAAAGGAATATACTGACTTCCCTGAATGTGAGAAAGCTGGAGAAGCTTTCAGGACTGAAGGAAGAGTTGCAGGAACTAGGCCTCAAGGTTAAGAATCTGAACTCACAGTCCTCTGAAGCCCTTCTCTCCATCTATCTCCTTCTACTCCATCTTRATTCCCTTATGCAATTGGCACAGGTCGCATGACCACCCCTGGGCCAAGGAATGGGGTTCAAGGATTGGTCAGGCATGAGTCTTATGCCCTCTTCTCTAATCAGGGGTAGAGCCTGAGATAAGTAGATGAGGGGGGACTGGGGGAAAATAAACTGGGTAAGTGTATATTGGGGTTGCTGCCATCCACCAGGCTGGCTAGAAAACTTCAGGAAATAATTTAGAGGCTTTGACCCTTGGTCCCTTGCTATGTAAGGACAATTATCTGGCATGGTTGGTGTAGAGATTAAATGAATGAAGACATGTTAACTACATGAAACCACACAGGTCCAAAACCTCAAGGCTCTCCTCCGGGTCTCTGATTCTTCAGAGGCACCCACCTCCTTTAAGGCATCTTCTCTGACCCCGGAGGCAGGAGCTTTTGCTGTCTGCTCCCCACAGAGGCTCACAATTACAGCCTGCCCTGTGCACGCAGGCTTCTGTTGTCGTCCTATGCTGTCATTCCACATTTTCTAGGTTTCCATCAAATTCTGTCAACCAGTCTGTGTGGTCYGGGAATGGCTGCTTACACATCCCTGCATGCATCCGTAAGGGGCTTGGCAAATGGGGGGTACTCTGTAAACATGTGCTGATTATCTGACTAATAGAGAGCCAACATTTTCTGAGACTCAAGCCTTCCTGAATGGACTGCCTTGAAGAAAGCAAATGTAGGGGAGCAAACTGGTACCCAGTCCAAGCACCAGCCAAGAGCAGGAGTAGCGCCTTGGGTGATATAGCACAAAACATGTTACATGTTATCTGGCAGAGAGTTCCAAGTCCCATTTAAAAGAAGAATGTGAGTCATATGGGAAATTCTGCTCAGGTGGTCCCTTGCCCACTTCCAACAGTAGAGTCTGGGGAAAACAATGCTTATTTTCCCAGCCTGCATTGTAATTAGATTGTCCATGTGACCCAATCTTGCGCAAAGAAACACATGAGAAGTCTGGTAAGAGTTTCTGGAAAAGACCTTTTATTCCTGATAGTCCAGGAGAGCCTAAGAAGCTAATTTCTGTTCAATGCCTCTGAATATTGTATGAGATTATGATGTTAGTCAGCTTTTCCTTGCTGTGACCAAAATACTTGACAAGAACTACTTAGAAGAGGAAAAGTTTATTTGGGGCTTGGTTTCAATGTTCAGTCTATAGTAGGCTGACTCTGTTGTTCTGGGCCTGAGATGGGGCAGAACATCATGGTGGAAGAGTGTAGTGGGAAAAACTGCTCAGCTCATAGCGGCCAGGAAGCAGAACACAAGGGACAAGTTCTAATCTCTAAGGGCATGCCCCCAGTGACCTACTTCCTCTAGCCATATCCCATCTGCCTACATTTACCACCAAGTATTCCATTCAAATTATTCATCTAAATGGATATTAATCTAAAGATTAGGTTACAACTCTCACAAATCTAATCATTTCACCTGTGACTATTCATGCATTAACTAGCACATGAACTTTGGGGGAAACACCTCTTATCCAAACCATAACAGATGCTTATAGCTGGTGCAGCCATTTTTATGACCATAAAAATAAAAGGCTATGAGAATCTCAGAGCTATCAACCCAGAGTCGTTAAGACAGTGCAGCCCTTGCTTCTCTTTAGATGTATTGCTAGGARATTTTTTTTTAAAAGAAGAAAACCTATGTTTGTTCAAGCCTGCTATTCTGTGGCTTCCATACTTGCAGCTAAAAGCATTCTTAACTGATACACCAAGGTAGCACAAGGGAGGACAGAGACCTGTCTGGCTTGCTAATTTCTAAGAAGCCCAGTCTTGATGATGGCTTCTGGAATTAGACAATGTCCTCTTGCTCAAGGGAAAGATCATGTT